TTGTTTTCTTTTTTCTTTCTTTGCTGCTTGAATCAGAATGAACCCTGTGTTTTACAACTGCTGCTATGCTACCAGGTTGGTGCAAAAGTGATTGTGAGTTTTGCCATTACACTTTACTTTTTTTTTTTTGAGACAAAGTCTTGCTCTGTCACCCAGGCTGGAGTGCAGTGGCACGACCTTAGCTCACTGCAACCTCTGCCTCCCAGGCTCAAGCGATTCTCCTGTCCCAGCCTCCCTGGTAGCTGGGATTACAGGTGTGTGCCACCATGTCCAGCTAATTTTTGTATTTTTAGTAGAGATGGGGTTTCACCATGTTGCCAGGCTGGTCTCGAACTCCTGACCTCAAGTGATCCACCCACCTTGGCATTCCAAAGTGCTGGGATTACAGGCGTGAGCCACCATGCCCGGCCTTATAGTTTACTTTCAATGGCAAAACCCGCAATTACTTCTGCACCAACCTAATAAATTTCACACCATTGATTCCTAAAGCAGTCCCAAAATCTCACCAGCTAGGTGCCTCCTAATTCATAAATTGGCTGTAAAATGGAGGATGACACAATAGATGCAATAGGTTACAGATGTCCACAATGTCCTGCTGCTTCTCCCATCAAGAGGTGGTCTATTGACCCTCCCCTTAAGTCTGGGCTGGCCTGTGACTATTTTTGACCAATAGAATGCAGCATCACTACATCACACCCAGACTTAGGTCTGACAGTTTCAGGGTTCACCTTTTTGGAGCCCCAAGCCACTAGGTAAAGAGGACCAGTCTTTCTAGAGAGACCACAGAAAAAAGAAATGTGTGGCCAGCCCAGCTTTTTCAGCCATGACTGCTGAGGCTCTAGACATGATTGTCACCATCTTGGATCCTCTATCCGCAGTTAAGTCACCCAGTTGGCAACATTGGAACTCAAACAAACCATCCCTGATGAGCTAAGAATCAGCTGTTGTTTTAAATGCTGTTAAATATTGAGGTACTCTGTTATGCAACAAAAATAACTGAAGCAATAGGGTTTATTTTGGTGAAAACCAGATGCAGAAAGCGTATCAGCAATATGTCCAGTCCTCCCTAACCCTAACAAAAGCAGAATAAAACTCACTGACATTTACCACCTCTCATGCCACCTAGCACTTAACCTCTATCATGACACTGATTCTGCTGCACTCAGCCTTAACTTATGTACATGTCTCCCTTCCCTACCAGATTAGGTGTAAATTACCTTGGTAACCACAGCCTTCTACACAAGGCCTGGCACAAAAGAGTTGCTTAATACATATTTGTTGAATGAGCTTTGACTTGCTCTTGATTAATTGATGAAAGCACTTGAAATGGAATAATAGCTCTTATTTTTTGTGCTCAGCATTGTGCAAAGTATTTTACATAGATTATTTCATTTAATCTTCACAATGATCCCAAGAAATAGGTCCTATGATTATCTTCATTTCACAGATGAGGAAACTAAAAGGCTAGGTAGCTTGCTTGAGGTCACACTGCTAGCGGCCAGCACAGATTCAAACCCCATTTTGCAAAGAGAAAGTATTTTCTTTTTTTTTTTTTTTTTTTTGAGACGGAGTCTCGCTCTGTCGCCCAGGCTGGAGGTGATCCACCCACCTTGGCATTCCAAAGTGCTGGGATTACAGGCTTGAGCCACCGCGCCCGGCCCGAGAAAGTATTTTCTTATAAAACATTTCAATCACACAAATAACTATAGAGATGAATACAACACACACCAATGTAATTCTGCTTCCGCAAAGCCTTAACCTTTTATATTTGCTTCATCTTTACAATGCTTTTAAATAAATAAAATATTACAGATTCAGGTTAAGTTCCTTGTGTACTTGCCATTGGGAGGGTACACAGTGAACTTCAACTGATCTATATCCTTCTCTTCTTCCTTTATCCTTGATCCCAAGATAACTATCAACCTGAATCTGGTGACACTCATGACAGGCAACTCAGGCCTGTTTTTGTTTTTTCAACATATGCATGCATTCACAGGCAATGTTTTGTGGGTTTTAAAAAACTACATAGAAGGAATCATATTGTTTACACCCTTCCGTGCCCGAAATGACTTTTTCTCAGTCAATAAATACATTTTTGAGATTCATCCATGTTAATATATGTAGCTTTTTGATGCTATGTAATATTTCACTGTAGGACTACACCATAATTTATTGTCATTCACCTGTTGATGGACAGTGTTTCCAAAAAGAAATTTTTTTTGTTGCTATTACAAACAATGTCTCAATGGACATTTGTATACATGTCTCCCTAAGCAGATCAGTAACAGTTTCTACGTAGGAGTCCAGTTGCTGGATTGCAGTTTACACACATTTTTAAGTCTACTAGAGTTTTCCCAAATTGTTGTGCAAAGTGGTTGTACTGATTAATATTCCCAGAGCCCAGTTTCTTAAACACTATGCAATTGTCTTTTTTTTTTTAGACAGGGTCTCACTCTGTTGCCCTGGCTGGAATGCAGTCGTGCGATCACAGCTCACTGCAGCTTTGATCTCCCAGCCTCAAGTGATTTTCCCGCTTCTACCTCCCAAGTAGCTGGGACTACAGGTGCATGTCATCATGCCCAAGTAATTCATTTTATTTTTACTTTTAGTAGAGACGAGGTTTCACTATGTTGCCCACACTGGTCTCGAACTCCTGAATTCAAGCAATCCTCCCACTTCAGCCTCCCAAAGCACTGGGATTATAGGCATGAGATACCGCACCCAACCGTAAGCAAAAATCTTGATATCAGTTCTAGGGTTGTCACCAAACAAGTGTTTTTAAAGTATCTGTGCTGGGCAAGGCAATACTTTAGGCTTCTGCAGCAATTAAATGAATGAAGCCATTGCAGTGTGTGCACAAAACCCTAAGAGGTCTGGTTGGTTGTGTCATGGTAGATAGCCCTAGCTCTGTTAGGACTCATCCCCAACTACAAAAGTATCTCAGAGGGTCATGCAGGTCAAGCCCTCCACATGGGCATCCAACCCAAGGGCAAGTAGGGACTGAAATCCAGGCTGGGCTTCTGCACTCCACTCACTATGAAGCTTCGCACAGGACTGTGCCTGTCTAGGGAGTGGAACACCTGTTGCCTAATTTGCATAATGCCACTGAATAGGCTCATGGCAGTCCCGGGTAGAATGCATTCATCTGTGGGAAACTGGTGTGCCTCATCAAATGGGAGACAGATTACTAAGAAATTTGCTAGGTTTTAGAATAGGTAAAGCCAGAAAATGGTTCCAGAGGAATAGCAGGGGGTGTGTGGAGGTTGGTGGCAATGGAAAATTTGGGTGCAGTGTCCAAGCTCTCATATTGCTATGTACTCTGCCCCATCACTCCTGGCAGTAGGTCACCTTGGCCAAATGTCTCATCCCCAGGGAAACTCCTATCTCCCTGCAGTTCTGTGAGACTTCTGGGTCTTGCTGTTTCAGACCATCTCAGCTGCACCCGTGTGCCTAAGGGTATGAAAACTAACGAAATAAATATGGTACATGAGATTACAAACCTCACCCAGAAAGGGTTCACTGCAGTTTCCCTACAGATTCAAGCAATTCAAATGCCCATACACAGGCATCCAGCGTGGTTGGGTGGCCTCCAGGAGGATCTCAATAGTTGGACCAGAAGATATCTCCCATGGAATCAAATGAGGTAAGTAACACTGTTTGATGATTTAATTGCTTCTCTATATGCATGAACCTTGCTGTAGTTAAAGGACCTAAATTGGCTGTGGATAGAACTTCACCCTACCTGAAAGAGTCTGCAGAGTTTCTTAGGCTCCATTTCTAAACTAAATTGCAATTGGAAGAAGCTGGGAAGAATGGAGAGGGCTCTGGGAAGCTGGGAAATATGGCCAACCATATTCCTGACAGCCACCCATTAAACAGAACCAGAATCAGGATCTTAAATAGCTAGCTAAAAAATTTCCAAGTAGTATTTGGTGGTAATGATGCCTGGCCCCTTCATCACAGCCCCTTGGATGGGGCTCCTGCCCCGGGAAGCCAGGGCACCTGAGGTTCAGAAGGGAGGCAGGGGACAGCCCTCTTTTATCACATTCTGAATGACATCACATTCCCTTTTACCAACTGCTGTCCATGGTTCAAGAAAGAAGGGCACTGTGTTAATTTCCTAGGGCCTCTGTAACAAAATACTGCAAACTGAGTGGCTTAAGACAGCAGAAATTTATTGTATCACAGTTCTAGTGGGAAGAAGTCCAAATCAAGGTGTCAGCAGGGCCATGCTCCCTCTCTGAAACCTGTAGGGGAATCCTTCCTTGCCTCTTCCTTACTTCTGGTGGTTTGCTGGCAATCTGGCATTCTTTGGCTTATAGATACATTAATTCAATTCTCTGTCTTCACATGGTGCCGTCTCTGTGTCTCCCTGCCTTCACATGGTTGTCTTCTGTTTTTTTGAGACGGAGTCTCGCTCTGTCGCCCAGGCTGGAGTGCAGTGGCATGATCTCGGCTCACTGCAAGCTCTGCCTCCCGGGTTCATGTCATTCTCCTGCCACGGCCTCCCAACTAGCTGGAACTACAGGCGCCCACCACCACGCCCGGCTAAGTTTTTTGTATTTTTAGTAGAGACGGGGTTTCACCATGTTAGCCGGGATGGTCTTGATCTCCTGACCTCGTGATCCGCCCGCCTCAGCCTCCCAGAGTGCTGGGATTACAGGCTTGAGCCACCGTGCCAGACCAAAACATCATTCGCCCAGGCTGGAGTGTGATGGCACCATCACAGCTCACTGCAGTCTCAACCTTTCAGGCTCAAGTGATCCTCCCACCTCAGCCTCCCAAGTAGTTAGGATCACAGGCACATGCTACCATGCTGTGCTAATTTTTTGTATTTTTAGTAGAGACAGAGTTTTACCGTGTTAGCCAGGATGGTCTCGATCTCCCGACCCTGTGATCCACCCGCCTTGGCCTACCAAAGTGCTGGGATTACAGGCGTGAGCCACTGTGCCCGGCCTGGTTGTCTTCTTATAAAGATGCCAGTCACATTGGAGTAGGGGTCTAACCTATCCCAGATGACTTCAGCTTAACTAACGACATTTGCAATAGCCCTGTTCCCACATAAGGTCACATTCGGAGGTACTGAGGGTTAGGGTTTCAACATTCTTTTTGAAGGGACATAATTCCACCCATAACAGACCTGTTTCTGTATAAACTGCTCCCTTGGTCTCTGGATTTGCCTCCAGTGGCAGTATAGTGAGTTGGTTAATCCATGGGTTCCAAGTCAGATTGCTTGGGTGAAAATCTTGCCATTGCTGTTGTGTGACTAAGGTCTGTGAAACAGAAATACAGTGATACAGATTGCTGTGATACAGAAATAAATACAGATAACAAGAGTATCTAGTATTTGAGGTTGATGGAGTATTAGGATAAAGGACTCTGCATGGTGCTGGGCATTAAGTGCTCATTAGACCTTAGTTACTTAAGTGCCATTAGTATTGTTATTCCCCAGCTCTTTCCATTGACTTTTCTAGGAGTGGGTTATTTATTCTTCCCTGCAGACACACATGGTCCTGGGGCATAACCAAATGCATCTCCATTTTAAGAGAACTGGGAGTGGGGTGGAGTGTGGGAGGGCTCCTTCAGTGTATACATATAAAGGAGGCAGTTCATCTTTATTAGCACTAAAAAAGTTCTTTATGTAGATGCTTCCAATAGAAAAGTAGGGCATTTCTCAAACATGTGCCCCTGAAATTGGAGGGACTGCCAAGAGAAGAAAACCAACGGACTAACTTTTTTTTTTTTTTTGAGACAGAGTCTTGATATGCCCAGGCTGGAGTGCAGTGGTATGATCACAGCTCACTGCAACCTTGAACTTTTAGGCTCAAGCCATCCCTCCCCCTCAGTCTCTGGAGTAGTTAGGACTACAGGAATGCACCACCACATCCAGCTAATTTTTTTTTTTTTTTTTTTTTTGAGACAGGGTCTCACTGGGTTGCCCAGGCTGCTATGCAGTGGCACAATCACTGTTCACTGCAGCCTCAACCTCCTGGAGTCAAGCAGATCCTCCCACCTCAGCCTCCTGAGTAGCTGGGGCTACAGGCGAGTGTCACCATGCCCAGTTAAGGTTTTTTATTTTTTGTAGAGACAGGGTCTTATTATGTTGCCTAAGCTGGTACTGAACTCCTAGGCTCAAGCACTCCTCCTGCCTCAGCCTCCCAAAGTGTTGGGATTATAGGTGTGAACCACTGCACCTGGCCATATATTGAGCTAATTTCTAAAATTTTCTGTAGAGATACGGTCTTGCTACATTGCCCATGCTGCTCTTGAACTCCTAGCCTCAAGGGATCTTCCTGCCTTGCCTCTCAAAGCTCTGGGATTATAGGTATGAGCCACTGCGCCCAGCTCAAAACTAGCTAACTGTTTTTTGTTTTTGTTTTTTCTTTTTTTGAGACAGAGTCTCACTTTGTTGCCTGGGCTACAGTGCAGTGGTGTGATGATAGCTTATTACAGCCTCAACCTCCTGGACTCAAGCAATCCTCCCGCCTCAGCTCTGCAAGTAGCGAGGACTAAAGGCAATTACCAGCCTGTTTAGCTAAATTTTAAAATTTTTGTAGAGATGGGGTTTTGCCATTTTGTCCAGGCTGGTCTTGAACTCCTGGGCTCAAGCGATCCTTCTGCCGTGGCCTCTCAAAGTGCTGGGATTAGATGCATGAGAATTAGCTACCTTTTTAAAAGAGACTCACAACATGACATTTACCTTGATGGATTTTCCCATGGTCCTGTGTCAAGCCCTCACTAAGCTTTAAAACAGGTTCAGAAACTTCACCATGTTCAAGTCCCAGAACTGAAAGCTGACTCATACTAAAAATATTCACATGATGTACAAGATACAAAAAATGAGAGAGGGTAGGTTATGTAATTTATAATGATAAAAATGTATTGGTGGACCAGTGCCTTTCATTGGTCCGATCACGGCTTCTCTCCTTAGTGAGAATGATCAGAAGGCTGTGGGTGGGTACAGAGTCACAGTGAGAGGATTGGGTCATATAATTTAAATGAATAATAGCACTGGGCTCAGATCTGACCAGTTTGACTTCTCAGAGAGCCCAGCTTCTTGATTAAATGAGACTGGATACCTTCTTCCTTTCACAGACACTTACTACTTCTTCTATTTTTATTTTTTGGTCTCCTTTGAATCCTTCTATTTTTTACCTTCTTATTCTGGCTGACATGTTCCTTTTTGGATGAAACGTTTTGCTCTATTCACCAGATTCTAATTTTTTGTTGTTGTTGCTAAGGTCAGGATTAGAGTCTGATAGAAATGATCCATAACTAATCTGAACAGAAAAATGCCATATTCATAAGACCATGCAAATGATTTCAGGGTGTTGTGGACATCCTTGATGTCCCAGGTTAAATTCCCATGCATCCTAGGTTAAAATTCCTGCCTTAAGCAGACCTTGCCCATTTTTGAGCTGACAAAGCTGAAGCCTAACAATGTTATCTTATTTTCCTCATGGCCAAGTTCTTAGGATCACCTTCCATCCTCACCTCTCTTCTCATTCCTCTAGCTACAGATCTTCTATTAGGCCCACCTCAGTGACCTTGGAACTGCTCAGACCTTGTGGATACTTCCTCAACCACATGTACTGGGTTGAGGTCTAATGGTGATTGTAGTCAATCCTATTTTCTCACCTGTCCCCCTTTGACTTGTATCTTGCACTTTCTCTAGTATTCCAGTTAACATGCTCATTCCTTTCTTCCCTCATTCCTTTTTTCTGGCAGGCTGCGCCCATGTCCCCTTGCATTGGGTATGACTGACATATTTCTCTCATTCACCCCGGTCTTTGTCTTTCCTTCTCATAACCATATTCATAGCCCCATCTCCCTCTTTTACTCCTTCCATCTCCCTGTTTTTCTTTCCTACCAATGCTTCCAGGGACATAATTTTCTCAGTTTCTTTCTATTCCTACCTGCACTACTGCTAAGCATTTTCTTTTCTTTTCTTCCCCCGAGATGGAATCTTGCTCTGTCGCCCAGGCTGGAGTGCAGTGGTGCGATCTCAGCTCACTGCAACCTCTGATCCCGGAGGTTCAAATGATTCTCCTGCCTCAGCCACCCGAGTAGCTTGGATTACAGGTGTGCACCACGCCCAGCTAATTTTTGTATTTTTAGTAGAGACTGGGTTTCACCATGTTGCCCAAGCTAGTCTTGAACTCCTGACCTCGTGATCCATCGGCCTCAGCCTCCCAAAGTGCTGGGATTACAGGTGTGAGCCACCGTGCCCAGCCTAACATTGTCTTTGTTTAAAATATCTTTTTAAACGTGATTTTCAAACCATATTTGTATTTCCCATTCAGACCACTCCTCTGAGCTCCAGACTTGCATATCCAACCTAATTACCACTTGCACTTAGATGTCACAAAAACAATGGGTCAAAAATGACACCAACAATTCCCTGCCCCACGTTTTCTCCTTCTCAGGAAGTTGCACCCCAGTTCACATTGTAACTCAAGCCAGAAAAATCATCATTTGTTGTTCCTTTTTCTTTACCACCACTAACATGAGTACGTCTGCTGCTCTTTCAAAAATATATCTTAAGTCCAAAGCAGTGTCTTCATCCCCAGAGCATAATCCTTAGCTCAAACTAGCATCATTTCTTACCCGAAACACGTCCAGCATCCTCTTTAACTACTCTCCCTGATTCCACACTGGTCTCCCTCTAATCTGTTCTTCCCACAGCAGCTACAGCTTGCTTTTAAAAACAGAAATTATATTATGTCACTCTCTACTTAACAGCTTCCTATTCATTCAGGAAACACATTTTTACTGAACACCTTCTATTTACCAGGCCCTCAAAAATCTCTGCCCTCATGAAATAATGAAGTCTAGACAGGGGTAAGGGTTATGAAGGAAAGAAGGGGTGAGGGATGGGAAATTTATGTGTGTTTGCGTGTGTGTGTGTGGTTACAATTTAAAATAGAGAGTCCAGGCTGGGCGCGGTGGCTCACGTCTGTAATCCCAGCACTTTGGGAGGCCAAGGCGGACAGATCACCTAAGGTTAGGAGTATGAGACCAGCCTGACCAGCATGGTGAAACTCCATCTCTACTAAAAATACAAAAAAATTTAGCTGAGCATGGTGGCACGTGCCTGTGGTGGGACTACTCTGGTGGCTGAAGGAGGAGAATCGCTTGAACCCGGGAGGTGGAGGTTGCAGTAAGCTGAGATGGTGCCACTGTACTACAGCCTGGGTGACAGAGACTCCTTCTCAAAAAATAAAAAACAAAATAAAATAAAACAGAGAGTCCAGGGGAGACTTCACTGAGTCTGAGTAGCTGACCTTTGAGCAAAGGACTTGAAAGAGGTGAGAGAGTGAGCTTTGCAGAATATTCCATGTGGAGGGAGGCCCTGAGGTAGAGTCATGACTGGCTTTGGGACTAAGCAGAGTACAATAAAATCCAAGCTTCACTATTTACTGTGGCAAATACTAAGTATTTACTAAGGCAGCCCAGGCCCCTATTCCCCCAAAAAACAAAGACAAGAAACGATCCTCTTTATCTCCTTTCCTGACACTCCCTCCGTCAATACATACCATCCACACTGGTCTTCCAGTTTACCAGAAGTTGCTTCCTACTTTTCCTGTGTTATGCATCTGCTAGGAATACTCCTCCAACCCTTATGCCCATATACAATTTGCAAGGCTGGTTTCTTCTCATCCAATAGGTCTCAGTTTAAATTTCACTTTAGGCCTTTTCTGACCACAGGACCTAAAACAGGGCTCTTTTTCTTTCTTTCCTATGTCAGTTTCCTATTTGTTTCTTTCCTGACATCTACCACACCATGCAATTGGCATTCAGATATATATGAATTTGACTTAAATCTCATTATAGTAAATGGCATCTGTCATTTAAATTTGCATTTGATCACTAGTGAAGATTAAGCATATTCCCAAGTAATTGTTAGTTCTTAGCATTATCTATTTTCTATATTTTGGCCAAAGAAATGCTCATTTAAAGTCACTTTGTTTTAAGGATAAGAGCAGGGCTGACCAGTCAAAACCCTACCCTCTCCATTTATTTTGGGGGAATTTATTTTCCCAAGTTCCTGGCGGAGATAGTGACTCACCATGACTATCTCTGCAAGAATCATTCCACAACCCAAACCAATTCAGAGAAAAGTGTTTCATTTCGATGACATCAAGTTGTAAAAACGGGCAAGAAAGTTGCATTTGAGGGGTACCAGGTTTCACCATTACGCAGCTAACTGAGCAATTGTTAATGGCCAACTCAATTATACGTTACAAGGAAATGACGGTCACAGGGAAGCTCAAAGCCCTGAAGCGAGTGAAGCCCTGCTCCTCACCGGCCCCTCTGCCTTTTCCAGGGCGCTCTCCGTCCCGAGGCAGGAGATGGCCTGGCTGACCCTTCGAGCTAAGGCGGCAGAACCGGTGCTGGGCTGGCGGGGCAGGGCATCAATGGTCCTCCGAGTTCTGCACCGTCCCTCCCGGTCCCTCCGCCGGGGACCGACGAGATGACGGCTCCTCTCGCGAGAGCTCGAGCAAGACCCGGCTCGGGGCGGCGGCTGGATGTTAGCCCAGCGCTTTAGACCGCGCCCCCTCTGGCGC